CCCCCCGCCCCCGCCCCCCGCAGCAGCCTCAGGCGGCTCCTGGCTGCCCGCTGTGGTGACCCGGCCCCTCCTTGCAGTTCGCCGTGTTCTACAAGGGGGAGGAGTGCCTGGGCAGTGGGAAGATCCTGCGCCTCGGACCGTCGGCCTACACGCTCCCGAAGGGCAAGAGCCGGTCCAGCGTGGCCACTGAGGGCCCCAGCGACGGCCCCGGCTCGGGACCCGCGCCCTGAGCACCGGAGTGGCTGCGGAGGAGCAGAGCCTGGGCGGCCCGCAGCATGGCTGCTGCTGGACCCGCTGCCCAGGAGGGGCCAGAGGACTTACTGACTGTGGGTCTGTCCGGGGCCCACCCGTAGTGCCTCTTACACCCTGGAGGGGCCGCAGGGACAGCGCGGAATAAAAACCTGTCCGGCACGTGGGCTCCGACAGCAGCCTCCGTGGGCACCGGGCGGAAGGGGGAGGCAGGGAGGTCGGGACTGCGCACACCTGGGACTTGCCTGGGGTCTGCTGGGAAGACCACCCTTACACCTGGCACCAGGCCCCCTCCAGCCAGGGCAGGGGCCTCGGGGGGTGCTGGCCTCATGACCCCACCGCTGGCTTAGTGTGACCCTGTGTTGGGGCGATAGGCCATAGTTGGGGGAGCTTTGAGACCAGGCCACTGAGTGGGGCCAACAGCTAGGTGCCAGCCCACCCCAGCGGTGCCCATTTCACAGGGGCCAGAAAGGGGCTGGGGCCTCGGCCCCCCCTCACCCCCGTGAAGGGGGCAAGCTGTGCTGGGAGGAGGGCACACCCAGGAGGGTCTGAGAAGGCCCCAGCCCAGCCCCAGGAGCCCCCTTGTGGACCGGGGCAGGCAATGGGCAGAGCAGTCAGGGCTGCGGCTGGTTGGGCAGCATGTGCTCCTTTAGGGCTGACACTTGGAGCCTGTAGTAGGGTGGGAAAAAGCCCCCAGCAGGGTCTGCAGGTGGGGAGGGGCCGAGCGGCCTGCCCGGTGGCTCTGGAGCCCTTGTCCTGCTCCGCGTGAGAGAACAGGCCCTTTCGGCAGCGAGAGGCCAGGCAGCTGGCGAGGGCAGGGCTGCTGTCCCCAGCTGTGATGGCTCCGGCGGCTGGACTGGGGGGCAGGCCCCAGCTTGCGTCACTTTCCACATGTGCTGGGCAGTGGGGTTGGACCGGCCGGCGTGGCCCCTGGCCTTGGGGACCGTCGGCCCCGCATGGAGGCCTGAAGGGCAGCACGGCCTCCGGCTCTGGTTTCCTGACTCACCGCCCTGGGAACAGGCCTAAGCCAGGCCCATCCGGGGGCCTCCGCAGCCTCCGCAGTGCCCACCCTGCTCTGTGCACGGGGACCTCAGGGTGGCAGAGACGGAGCAGAAGGGAGGGCTGCCAGGCCAGGGCGGCTGGGGGAGGTCCCCTCCCCACCTCTGGGTAGCTCTGCATCCGCCAGCCCCGGGCTGGCAGTGGAGGAAGGGGAAGGAGGGTACAAGCCTGCCACTGCCCCGGTCACCCAGCCTCAGTGGCGCTGGTCCCGTGGGCGCCTCGGCCAGCAGTGCCACCTGCTCTCCGCTGGGCAGGCCTGCCTCACCTGTGCCCCGAGGTGCTGGTTAGTGCTGAGAGCTTTAGCAGCTGTGGGCCGCCAGCGGGCCAAGAGCAGGGCTGGGACTCCCGCCTCTTCCCCTGCCCTGCCCAAGCCCCTGGGGGCCCTGGACTCCAGGCCTCAGCCCCAGGTGACCTTCAGAAGACATGGGCAGGACCGCTGCTCCTGCCTCTTGCCCACGGGGCGCCCAGCTGCGCACACAAGGGGAGGGAGAGGGAAATATTCGGTGCAGAGCTGAGGGGGGAGCGTGTTGCCCTGCCCCATCCTTCTGGGGTCTTCTTGGGGGACAGAGCCTAGCACTGCGCCTGCTCCTCACCTGGAGGCCCCAAAGCCCGGATCCTCCCGGTGTCAGTAACCTGAGGGAGGGAGCAGCAGGCAGCCCGTGGCAGGACGGAGGGATGGAGGTTCGCACGTGTCAGTGGCCTGCAGGGGCTCATCCCTGAGTCTCACAGCGTTCCCGCGGGGCCTGTGTTCGTCCTGCTCCCTCTGGTCCCAGAGCAGCCCAGTCAGCTGGTGGCGTGCTCTGTCCTGGGGGAGGGGGGGCGTGCCTGCTCCCCTGCCAGGGGCTCAGCGCGTCCGCGGGTTCCCGGGCAGCATGGCTTCTGGCTGAGCTCCATTCGCTCGGGGTCGCCGCTGGGACTGGGACTGAGCGTTAGCAGGTGGATGGGGGAGCAACGCTTCACCTCTGGGGCTCGGTGCTTGTGGGGGTTCCCTTATGCCCCCCAGATTGCCGCAGGGCGGCCCCAAGCTGGAGCTGTGCGACTAGCATGGGGGCGAGGCCTCCCCGAGAGCCCGGGCGGGGGGGCTGTAGGTGAAGAGGGGGGTCGGTTCTTCCTGTGCTGACGCCCCTGAGCGTGGCCCGTCGGGTGCGAGTGTGAGTGTAGGTGCTGGCCCTCGGGGGGACCCATCTTTCTAGACGGGGGGGCCCGGGAGTGAGCATGTGCGGCAAGTCCCAGAGAGGAGTGAGCTGGAGAGAGGACCCCTCATTGTCCACTTGCACCGACGCTGGCTCACCCCCGCGGGGGCGCGGGGAGCAGACCCCGGCAGCCTGTCGAGCTCACCGACAGCACCACTGCTCCCCGAGGCCGAGAACGTGTCTGAGCCTTGCGGGTTCTTCCCAGGGAACAAGTGGGAAGTCCACCGACCAGAGGCTCTTCCCAGGACCCGGAGGCTCGTGACACTGAGTGTCCACCTGGGGCCCCTCTGAGGCCACCCAGCGGACAGAGCCAGGAGCACGCCAAACGACCCAGCTTTCAGCCAGGAGGACCCAGGCGCTTAGCTGCTCAGAGACGCTACAGCAGCCGTTACACCCACACTCCACAAGGTAGCGGTGAACTAGAAATGCACGGGCACCGGCGTCTCAGCAAAGAAATGACCAGTAAAAGGACTGAGTGCAGACTGAGGCTCCCTGACACCATCAGATACAATCCTCTTGGGGGTGGCAGAGGGAGGCGTGGGCTTGTGTGTCAGTGACTGGAAACCATCAGAAAGAAGAGTGAAGACAAATGCAGAGTCTCAGGGACCAGGGACACTGTCCAAGTGACGGACACTGTCTAACCGTCGCGTCACTGGAGTCCCAGAGGCGGGAGCCCCGGAGACTGGGGCA